CAGGGCTGAGGTTCCTGGGCCATGCTTCAGCTGCTGGAATTGCCTCTCAGAGCCCGTGGGCAGCAGGTGCTGTTGCTGCAGAGCCCGGCAGCCCCCGGCCACAGCTCACGGCAGCAGCTCCGGGCTGGGGGGGCGCAGGCCATTTTTTGTGGGCGACTAGTTGAGCCAGCCCAAAGGGACCGACAAAATGTCCCCTTTCTAAACTGACCTTGCATGTGTCCAGGCTTTGGCCTTATGAAAAAGAGGAGACCAGCTTTGCTGTTCGGCTGTAGAGGAAGTAAAATTTTTAGCAATTTGGGGCATCCCTTAATTTATAAGTGCTGGCGGAGAGAGTTTGTCTTGAGCCTTTCTGCTTCCTGCTTGCTTTTTTCCTCCCCAACACGTTTCCTGTTCACTTAAGTGAACTTTGCCAAATCCAGGGGCTGCAGGAGCCCAAAGGTCCAGCCCTTGCTCCTTCGTGCCCTGGTGCCGGACACACTGTGGGGCTGAGGGTGCTGCAGACAGACCCGGGTGCAGGCAGAGCAGAGTGGCAAAGGGCCCCATGGCGCTACGATCCTGCTCCCCTGAGCTCACGGGAGCATATTCCCCACCCCAGCCCCTCCGCTCGGTTTGTTCCTGCAAAGCTCTGTCAGCTTGAGTGTTGCAGGGTGAAAAGATGTTGAGTTTTATTCCTTCATGCTCTTTCCCAGACCCCTTTCAGCCTCAGCCTGAAGCTCCTACCCACCCTTGGCAGGCGGAGCATCCTTCTGTCGGCAGTCATGGGCTCTCTGCGCTGGGCTCTGGACTCTCCCATCCTTTCCCCCCTCCATCTGCTCTCAGCTCCCTGTTGGGCCTCCGAGGCCCTGCTCCTCGCCTCTGCTGCTCACCTCTTCTCAGGATGAGCTGTCCCTCTCTTTGCCTTTGGGATGCCACCTGCTGCACCTCACCCTGCGGTGCAGCAAGTTCCCTCTCAGCGCTGCACCCGGCTCTGCTCTGCAGCTTTCCCACAGCTCTGGGAATTGGAGATCTGAAGGACTGGAGTCTTATCCTGACTTCCCGGTCTGCATTTCCCCACTGCCCCTGCCTGCCCCGCGATGAGGGTGCAGGGACCCAATGCCTCTGCCCTGTGCACTTCTGAGGGGCTGGCAGAGATGCAGTGAGGGCTAATCCTGCTGCCAGCCTCCTTATTTGTGCTCCCCGGGCCCCTATCAGCTCTTCACCCAGCCTGGGGAGCTCAGGGGAGATATCACTCATGTGAGGCAGGTGGGCAGGATGGGTGGTTCAGCTGGGATTCCCTGGGGCAGCAAGAGCCTGTCCAGAGGCAGAAGAGCTGGCAACAGCCCTGGGATACCCTTGGCACAGCTCTGCCAGCGATCCCCTGGCAGGATCCCCATCTGCACAGCAGCTCCTGGCTCCGGCA